GGGGGGGGGGGGGGGGGGGGGGAGTAAAAAATTTCCGGACATAGGACATTTTAGGAGTCCATGATGGTAGGGTCCCACAGCAAGTTCTCGTCGCCTCGTCCCTAGCCATCACGTCCCTGCTTGGTATGCGAAAATGTTTACTTTGCGCGAAAAGTAGTACTTTATGCAGCCACTTCGGCGCTGTAGCACTTCTCTTAGGCTATATATATCGTAATGAGTGCACAACTTTTTTCGTTTGAAGTGTTTCCCTTGTAACGTCATACATACACGACGTGATATGTAAAAAAACTAATTACATATATAAACAGTAGGATTAGACTATAAATCATTACTTCAATTATTTGTAGGTTTCTATGTATAAACAATGTTTAACTTATGCATGGCACCTATCTTTTAACAGCAACCTAATTGAATGGACAAAGCGTCAGGAACTCGAGAGTGAAATGTGTACCCAAAATGAAACAGGAACAACATCAATCAATGTAAGAAGTATACATCGCAATGGCCTGGGCAAAATAATCATGAAGTATGACCAAGAAATAAAGAACAAAACGGCGCCATGTGAACTCAATGCCGCAAAGGCAAATAATCGATGTTTGACGGACGTGATAAACGTCTTTAAATGCACACAAATAACACAAAAGATAAAACTACATATTCCAGGGACGACAAAGATGAAAACTGATACAATTATTGTCGGTTGTAAAGTTGTCATCTTCAGCTAGATGTTGGACCGAAACTCGTAAATGGAACTTGTATGAATTATTGATGACATTTATGGATATATTTCTAATTATTTATATCCTATATTTAATTTATTTATATATGAGTCTATGACAAACTCATTTAAATATTATATTTAATAGTTGCAGTAAGTATTAAGCAAGTAAATAAGAATTGTGCAAGTTCATATTGTGTCTCTAATTTATTTTACTTCCTTTCCTTTTATTATCCCTAAACTTTTCACTTGTTCAGTTCCATTAACATTGAATACGATATTAAGCAACATGACACTAGGGATAAATGACTATTACAGTTAGTTCTCTTAACTAAGTTTGCCCGCTGTCGCTGATAGAGATGAAATCGGTAGCTGTAACGAAGCCGTAGCTAAGGGGCAGTGACCCCCATTCGGATATAAAATTGAAAGTATGCCCCCCAAACCCACAAAATTTGTTTTTTCTGACTTTATTCATTTTTTGCCGAAGCCTCCATTGACTCTAGTTTACTTTAAAACGGCGATTCCCTTTTTGTATAAACTATTAATCAGATTATATTTGCTGTGGCTCCCATCCCCCCCCCCGGAAATTGAGAGCCAGCGTCGGACTTGGGTAGCTGCATGGTTGAGATGCACATAACTAATCAAGCACCATCACCAGCATAACGATTACTGAAATCCTTAGCAACCAATGGACCCGTATGAAACCTGAACCTACACTAAATAAACGAAGGGGATGGTCCCAGGAAAGAGGATGATTCGCATCGGGAAAACCCCTCGAACCGGTTCCGGCTGTGGAACCCAACGTGGATGCAGCGAGAAAAGCAAAACCGACCACAAAGGCGGGGGAGCATGAGTGGGAAGCTCGAAGCAGCTGACTGCGAACGCCTCGTTGCTAACAGGGTGGACTTTCGTCGTCGCTGCATAAAAATAGTGCGGGCTCGTGAGCTTTTTCCCGCTAATTTTGGTTTTCGATGTTTGGCGTACAATTTCTAAGGATGTTGAAGTTTACAGCATTGTGATTCACTGGTTTTTGAAAGCATCGGCGGTTGGAACTTGCAGGCTAACTCTTCAACAACCTAATGACTGTTTTTAAAGCAAAGCAATTGAAAGGAAAACTTATATCTTGATACGAAGAAGATGAGTGGCGATATTTATGTTGGACTGTTTTGAGCAGATGCTACGACGAACATGTTAGGGAGCAGTCATTATTAATGCCAGGGGGGGGGCGAAGATATTTCTAAACTCATGGTAAATTTTTCATGGCCCCTCATTCCTTCAAAATATTTTTTCATGCCCCCCCCCTTTAAATATAATAAATTTTCATAGCCCCCTCCCCCCCTCCTTCTTCCCCTGTGATTGAACTTGCATTCCAAACATATACTAAGATCACAGGCGGCCCAATCTCGCAAGCGACATCTTGGGCTACTGTGGTGCTTGATTTTCGATGGCTGGGGGGAGCGGGAAATCAAAACAACAAGTCCAATATGGCGGGGAAATTTATCTTTATCTTGTATAAAAACCACATGGACGAATTCAATTGAACTAAATTTTGGCACAAGAATGAGTTTAAAAACATAGTATGACAAAAAGAGCCTGTGGAGAATACCTGGAAACAGTTTTAAGAAATAATCTCGACGAGATGCAGCGAAACGTGACTATGTAAGTCTGTATAAATACAATTTATAAAGATTTTCTTAATAATTTCATATGTTATTTGAGTTTGAATCATTTGTCCTAGTTTAAATTATGTGCCTTTATGAGTTTATGATCATTTCCCAAGTTTGTTTATGCCAAATTGCTTACAAAAGAATTAAAAACTCTTGACAAAATGAAGTTGAATTTTATTGAATTTCATCATGCTATGCATAAAATAAATAATCACTCGGGCAAGTCGTGCAATTAATTAACAGCTTGTGCAATTTTGGCACATTTTTCAAATATTACTCGTAGTGTTAATATAATTAATTGCACTCCTTCCTGTGTGATTACCTATACTTATATTGCATTGACATTTATATTACAGTGAACTATAATTGCTGATGTTTTATGATTATTGTACATTAGTATAATTACATAGGTGATTATTGAAAATTCTCCACGCTGATTGGTTACCGTTGAGGTGATTATTACGCGATAATCACCTAAGCGATTTTCAAAATGGCGGCCGAAGCCGTTTTGTCAATTGAAAGACGAAGAAATGTGCATTTTAAAATTTTTTTTCAAATAATCACCTATGAAATTATCCTGAAACAATTATTCACCTCAGGCTCGGTGATTATCGTGAATAAAAACATCGACTTCGTCTCGGTTTTTATTCACCGATAATCACCTCGCCTTCGGCGAATAATTGTTAATTATTTTTGGTGCCCCCCCCCCTACTTTTCTTTGATATTTTTGGTAGCCCCCCCTAACTGGTTGATAAATTTTTGGTGCCCCCCCCCAAATATCTTCCGGCCCCCCCTGGCATTAATAATGACTGCTCCCTTATGGAGCAATGTTTACCTCCAAAGTCTAAATGGTTATATCCAAACCAAAATATACATTTGAGTAACTTGTGTAATTCAACACTAACTGAGTTGAAATGTGAATAAATGAATTGTGGAGTTACTAGCGGCTAACTCCAAAAATCACTTGGAGGTAGGTAAAACTCCAAAAATAATTTAGAAGCTACTGTAGGTATCTACTGTAAGCCTGGAATTACTGGCTAACTCCAAAAATCACTTGGAGCCAGGTATAACTCCAAACAATTTTAGAAGCTACTAGAGGTGTGCATCGGATCGGACGTTTATAATCCGACAATTGCCTAATGTTTAAAATCCGATCCGAAATTGTCTAATCCGAATCCGATCCGAGTTTTGAAAAAGAATTCCAATCCGATCTGATCCGAAGAATTCTATATGAACATGCTAATTTTTTAACTGGTTGATTATAAAAGACCCTAGGCCTGGAATCAAATTTCTAAAGAATGAATCACTGATCAGAAAACCAATTTGGTCAGTACTTCCCAACTTTCCTCGCTGCTTCCCCCTTGGATTAAAAAAATGAGGACAGTGGTTCATGCGGGGTGTCAAATAGCGAGCAGCCAGGTCCCGGTAAACGCCTTCCCATGGACCTTCTGTTTTACACAGCGTGTGGCATATAAAGACGTTGTGTTGTTCAGAGTCTGTTCTCTTCCATGACATGATAAGACAACACAGAATATCAGGATTACAGTAATTTGACCTGCAGTTGTAGATCAAAGTGTGTCAGCATCAAACATAACAAGCTTCCTCATCTTTCACATTATTTATGATTCTGTGGTGGCATTGAGAAGCTTGTTCAGCAGGTTTGCCACTGTTGGACGGAGCATGTGTGACAGCATAGCCGATAAATCTATCTTGTCTAAAAATTTAAAATTCGCTCATGTAAGCCAAAGTAATGGGAGACTTTGAAGGATACCTCTGGTTATGAAGCCTCTGATCTTGTCTTGAGTCTTGTAGAGTCTGCAACTAGTCAGTCACGTGTCAATAAAATGTTACAGCTATACAGTCTCTGTTTAAAATGTCTTGGTTAAACTAAAAATAACACCATCTGTGGCTGATTTTCTTGGTGATTATATTTTATGTTCTTGCATCTTCATTCCAAATGTAAAGTTGCTAATGCTGAAGATATTAATGAATTATTATGTTTCTTTTATCACAGTACCAATCATGTTAGATGAAGCTTTTGAATATCTAGAAGAAAGAAAAGTAAGAAAACCTGATCAGCAATATGTTTTATTTCAATAAATATAGGGATACGACTACCCCAATAATATAAGCAGAACTTCGGTGTGGCGTATTGTTCAGGTACAGTTGTATCCCTATTAATCCGCAGTTTTCTTATTATCGTCCCTGCGTATACCTACACGGGCAGAGACCGTTTGAGATTAACGGCTTATTGACCTCGCTTGTTCGGTCTGTGCTGTGAAATATCAGACCGAGGTTTTTTAGTATGGACCGAGCGACAAAGGAGCGAGGTCCATGCAAAAAACTGATTCTGTGAGCATATGCTTTTCGCGCGAATTAAATCGGCTATCGTCCGTTTCACTGGGTAACAATATACGGTAGGCATGCATGCTCAATCAAAAACAATTTGGTTGTTTGACATTTTTATCTGTAAATTTTAATGACACGCAATTGGAAAATTAAAAAGCAAAAATTTTTTCTGTTTGC